GAGAGAGAGAGAGAGAGAGAGAGAGAGAGAGAGAGAGAGAGAGAGAGAGAGAGAGAGAGAGAGAGAGAGAGAAAGTGGAATGCTTACCTTGAGAAGAAGAGCATTGCAAGCCTTTCGTTCAATAGCAGTGGCGATCCTCTGTGGATTTGTCACCAGAAGGTCGTCACCTACGACCTGGACATTCAGTCTTTTCTGCAGATTCGACCAGGCATCCCAATCATCCTGATCAAATGGGTCTTCGATGGATGCTATAGGGAAATCTCGGACAAATGACTCGTACAGAGAAGCAAGCTCATCAGCGCTTATCACATCTGCCCCGTCGTTTGGCTCCTGCTTGAAATTGAGGTCGTATCTTTGGCCGCCTCCTGTTGTGCCTTTACTTTCTCCCTTCACAAGAAACTCAGAGGCGGCAACGTCCATCCCGATTTTCACCTGCAGGTGGGGGAAATCAACGATTTCCAACCACATCCGGACAATAAAAAAGAATAGAAAAAAAGGGGAAAATCCCCCAAATAGACCAAGCTTGGTAAACCTCGTGGCAAGCTTATGGTACAGTCCAAATAGGAATATCATCTTTCATTCACAAGACTTCGGAAGGAAAAAAAAATAAAAAAATCCGAAATGCCCAAATTATTGACGAGTAATCACTAAATAGTAAATAGTAATTACCCTCCCTTTTGTCCCAAGCTCGTGGTACTTCTCCCACCTTCCTCGTGCTCCTTTCCCACCTTGCTCGAGCTACTGCGAGGCACAAGGCCTCGATAAGCCCTACTGGGCCCTGTTTGCAACAGCATCGGCCACCCCAAGTGAAAGCAGGCCCGACAGACCTCAAGAGGCCTATTTTGGACTACAAGGCAACTGGGGAAATTCAGGTAGTTGTGCAGCACCAGTCGGTTGGAAGCACCCAGGCCCAGGCTGCCTTTCATTGCATGTAACTAAGGCAAGGCCTGGGCCGGATACACGAAGTGGACGAACAAAGGCTGAGGGCAGTTGGGTGCTAATAACCACCTCAGCCCGTGGGCCTGTTCCCTTCCGACTGAGGCTCAGCCTCCCTGGGCCTACCGGAAGCTTCTGGGCCGGGGCCCAGTACCGCAGCACAGCACGCAGCAGCAGGCCACTTCAATATAGGGAAGGGCCTGCCCACTCTTCGGACATTCGGGCACTGGCTGCTTTGTGCGCAAGCACTTCTGCGCTATCGCCTGCCAGGCTCACGCACTCACGGGCGAGCTGGAAGGAGCAGGCATCCATACCCGAGCTGCGCTGCTGTATGCTGGATGGGGCGCATGGTGGTCCTTGGGTGCAAGTGGCATCTGTGAGTTGGGGAACGAGGTTGTGAGTGATACGAGAGACATACCCGGTGCTTGACGCATGCGGCATTGGCCGAGGTCTGCTCGTACTTGGGAAGCTGTTGACGTCATCAGCGGCATTGTAGTCTAGGCTAGATAGGATCTGCCATTCGTAGTCTGGGCGCCGAGCGCCAGATAGGATATCAACATTGGTTCTTCGTTGATGATGATGATGAGACTGATCCAGCATTGTCAATTATGTGTATAATGCTGTTTGATTGCTGAAGTTCGCTACTCATCTTCCTTGCACTACTCTCCCGCTGCAAAAATTGGGAGAGAGATGCAAAAGAGACGATATGATGTCTGCAAGGAACACCATGTTATTCAGTTACTTATCAGTAATCAATCACCATATGAAAAGTTGAAAACCCGCACACACATTCTTCAACAAAGAGGGCAGTTTACCCGCACACCAATTTCCACCGTCATTCACAGTAGTACACCTCATCACTTATTTTTTCTCCCCGCCTGCTGCCCCACCACCTGTTCCAACTTTGTTGGCACTGCAAACTGAGTTCGAGAATCGGTGGCGCAGATTGTGATTACCTACCAACCAGAAAAAAAATGCGCCTCCAATCCGATTACCTATAAATCAGGTCAAGCAAAGCTTTCTGAAGGCATCATTCTAGAGGCATAAACCACCAGTACTTGGCCCTGAAATCGGCCGTGGAAAACATAAGAGTAGAAACGTTTCCACTCCAACGAATTTGAGCACTCCTGCAGTGGCCCGTACGTTTCGTAAAATCGTGTATTGGATGCATGCACGACAGTAGGAAGTGCTGGTGGTTCAAAAATAATGAGGGAGAGTTAAAGAGATGGGACCTCATTCAGTGATTGCATCTGGATGGGACTTCTTATTATTGTTAGATTAGATGGGACAAGATGGGACACCGGTTCCAGCAGCAATTGCACCAGGACGGGACTCCATATGCCCACAGTCACAACCACACAACGCAGGCAGGAGCGAATTCCCGCTGGCGGCACCCAACCCAATCAATAACAAGATCAGGTGGGTGGTAAGCTCCAACTCCCAAATCCCATCGCAGGACCTGGTTCTGAAACAGGAATTCAGAGTGTCAGAGTGAGCAGGTTTCTGGTACAGTTTTCGATCCAGGTTCATACAAGCACAACCCCACGTGGGACTGAAAATTGACGGCCGGTAGGGCCGACCAATGTGGTCGTCTTGCCAATCTTGACACAATTTTAGGACGTCAACTAAAAAGCTATTCGAGTCCTTTTCAACGGATTCCGCATGGCACGGCTCATGCCAACTGGCTGGTAAGGGGGGATCAGCAGGAACTCATCGATGACAGCTGGGTTATGCGAGAAGCGGATGACAGAGAGTCGTTACTAGTGAAAGGATTCACACGCCGCCCCCCATACGGGCCCAGTACCATGTCCCATTAGGGCTGACTTCCACCAGATAATACTATAATAGCCATGCCTGGCACACAGCACACATATCAGGCATGAGCCAGTGTCCCAGAAAATGACGGCTCCACGGTACCATGTCCCATGTCCAATTAGGCTGAGTTCCACAGACCCTTTCTGGGACATGGTACCACGGCGCATGCCAACTGGCTGGTAAGGGGGGATCAGCAGGAACTCATCGATGACAGCTGGGTTGTGCGAGAAGCGGATGACAGAGAGTATCAGTGTCCCAGAAAATGACGGCTCCACGGTACCATGTCCCATGTCCAATTAGGCTGAGTTCCACAGACCCTTTCTGGGACATGGTACCAGGGGAGGATCACAGTCTGTCCTTTTGTCTGGACATCATCTGTTGCTCTCCCCTTTGACGGTTCGCTGAAGAGGATTCCCATGTTACTGTTACTGTTACTGTTACTGTTACTGTTACTGTTGCTGTCGCTGTTACTGGTACCCTTTCTGGGAATGTTGAAACAGTAACAGCGAGAGCAACAGTAACAGTAACAGGGGACTCTCGCTGTTACTGTTTCAACATTCCCAGCCTATATTCCCTATAATCAATCGTTCAGCGGCCTTAAGCCTAATCAATCGCTCAGTCAGCCTAATCAATCATTGAAACTGGTTATGATATCAGTTTATAGATGTCAGTTTATGGCTGTTAAGCTCATGATTTGCTCTTTCCCCACTACTCCCTGACTCCAAATTAACCACCCTCCAATAAACCACCCTCCAAATAAACCCCCCCTCCAAATAAACCACCGTCCAAAATAACCCCGACCTTCCCACACAGTTCCGCCGCGTACTCGTAAACGTCAGTAACACAGCCACAGCCTGTGGAAAAAAATGACACCCACAAGAGTTTCACATGAAAGTTGATGAAACTGAACACTCCCTTCCCTAACCAAGCAACAAACAGCCTGCCTCGACAAAAAAAATTATTTTATTTTTTTTCCAGAAAAAAGAGTTCAGGCTTGTCTTCTCCTTATATGAGTGACGGCCGCATTTTTACTTACGCTATCATCTTCTCACAGTCTTGTCCCTCCCAGTGCTCGCACCACCCACCCTCAACAGGCAAAGGCTCAAGCTCAACCATATTTTTACTTCACATTCATTACCTATCCCAGACAACACCAAGTCTTAACGCAATTGGGTCTTAGGCAGTATCTGGACTGGAAGTTGCACCACATACAGATACAATGACCGGGCGTTCTGTTTGGGTGAAGACGGGTCTAAGGAAGGCTCAAGACTGCAGCAATGGTTCAACCTTAAATAGACCAACAGATAAATTCCGACTGTGCTGCTCCTTTTCACTAATCCTATTCAGACGCCACCCACTTCCAAGCCCTGTGTTGCTTATAGCTATATGGCAGGTGCAGGCGCAGGCGACCACTGCTATGCTGTCTTCTTCTCACACACACGGTCAACCTCCGTCTTCACCCCAATAGAACACCCGGTCATTGTAGCCGTATTTGGTACAATTTCGGTCCAGATACAGCCGTACTGACCGGGTGGGTGTTCTATTCGGGTGAAGACAGTAGCGTTCCCCACATTTCAAAAAGACAGTGGTATAATTGCGCTATATTAATTACCGTCAACCGAAAGGCCTGACCATTGAAAACTGTTTATCCGTTTTTTGGCAACTCTTTCCATGCCTGTGGGGTTGGGCACGAAGTGTCACACACCACCCCCATCCACAAAGAGGGCCACAAAACACAACATCCATAACATAACAAAGCACCCACCATGACAATGTAGTCCAACACATCCCAGAAGACGCACCTAACCCAGTCTCTGTGTGTGTGTGTATGATTGTGTGTGTGTGTGTGTCTGTGTGTCTGTGTGTCTGTGTGTCTGTGTGTCTGTGTAATGTCATGTTCGCTATACACATCTCCACAAACCAACTGGTTCTGCCACACTGTTACTTCTCATCAGGAGGTTCAACCCCGATTCAGGGCGGCACCCTGCCCAGGATGCAGATTTGAGTCGATTTGACTGATGTGTACGGCGGCCTCACCCCCCGTTGCCCAGACTTCGCGGTACCCCGGAAAAAAAGTGGTCGACTTTCCTCTCACCAACCCTGCAATCCTGGCAGGCCGTCGGGCCAAACTCCTGCGAGTGTCCACACATCCTAAAAGTCTAAAGCAGCATTTTACACATACCTTCCCCATGTATCCTGTCTGGTCAATTGCAGACATCAGCAGATTTAAGCCTTCCCTGTTGTCCTGAATGTTGGGTGCAAATCCGCCCTCATCTCCAACATTACAAGCATCTTGGCCATACTTCTTCTTGATTATGCCCCGCAGGGCATGGTACACTGTCAACCACGTGGCAGATGCAAAGCAAAAGACAATCAACAACGTATACAAAACCACGAACACAGACACGTAGAGGCACACATGACATGACAAAACACACACACACATACACACACACACACACACACACACACACACACACACACACACACACACACACACAGAGTCCAACAACAATTCCACTTGTTATCTACCATCTTTTGCCTCCTCACTAAAGAAGCATGCACACATCTACACACACACACACACACACACACACACACACACACACACACACAC